ATGTATATTATATATATAAACGATAGTATATACCTAATTGTTTTCATGTGTTTCTATTATATTTATATAATTCTCCTTTTTTTCTGGATGGCGGTGCTCTATGATTAAATCTCTCTCTCTCTCTGTAACGTCCATGTTTCTATATCTTATAAGTGTAAATTGATAACAATGACGTATTAGACAATGTTTAACAACACAGTTAACACACGCGCGAAGCCAAAACGCTTTCTCTCTTCATTCTTATTTTCTTTCTCTCTTTTGCTTGTTCCGTGATGTGATGTGCAACGAACACGCCCTATTCTCTTGGACGATTTCCTGCAATTACAATGATGACGACGACGACCTCCCTTTTCCTTTTCTCTCTCTTTCTCTTTTTCTTTCCGTGCTTCTGCAATGATGACTCTGCCCTTCCACTGTTTGCTATTTACTCTGCCGCGTATTGACGCTTTTTCCTCCCGCTTTCCTTCCCGCTTCTTATCGCGCAGATCTCAGACATTGTAATCGATTAGATGAAATGCACTTCTTAACTCGAGGAATTTCTATCGCGATTAATCTCACGGGATGGAAAGAGTGTTTCTTTAACTTTTCAATTCCTCCACCACCACCAACGTATACGTCTGCTTTGAAGCTCTTTTATTATCTAAAAAAAAAACTCTAATCCTGATACAGAAAAAACAGTATCCTTGAAAGAATGAAAATATGCCTTGATTCGAGTATATTTTATCCTTATAATAGCGCCAAATATAAATAATTTTGGATAAAGGATAATTTATCCTTAAAACAAAGTGCAAAATATTCTTGGTTGAAACTGAAATTTACTTATAAATATTGCAAGGACATAAACGGTACTTTCAAGTATATATAATAATTCTAATAGTTCAAATGTGACTAAGTTTGTTTTTACCATACGCGATTTTTCAAACAAGAATATATCTTGAGGATAAAATATACTTCACACAAACTTATTTATTATATAATCAAATAGCGTTCGAGAATAAAAATATACTTGAATCAAGGATTCCTTTTTTTCTGTGAACGCATACAAAACGCTGAATTACGTTCGTCAATTAATATCGCGAAAATTTTCCTCGCGCGAAAGAAAGAGAAAGACACCCATTTATTCTTCGTGCCACGAATATTTTCTCGCACACAACGCGCGGTCATCTATTCACAATTTCTCAGCGATAGATTCCAGCGGGAACATTTTATTAACGTTCCCGCCAGACCGAGTAAATAGCGAACGATCGATTCGGGATGGACGATCGTAACTCACCCCCGCAACAATTTCCTCCCCCTACCCTCACGTGATGCACTTACGTCTATATGAATATAGACGCGCGGTGTAAAACACATACTAACGTCGGGGTTCCTGAGAGCATCAATTTACCCCATTCAATTTTTTTCGAAATAACAGAAAGGGATGATATAAGTATCTGTCAATTATGAATTTCGAAAGAGAAAACATTTGAAAATCGAACGAATGAACTTTCGAATTTATTAAAATATAATTATATTAGAAAAAAAAAATAATTAGAATTATTATTGTTATTTTTTTTATAATCATTACATTAAAAAGTATAAAAAAATTGTAATGATATTTCTCTTTCTGTACAGAAGCAAGAAGAGAAGAAAATAATTGAATAAAAAGAGCAGTAAACACCGGGGGATGCAATTGGCAAGTTTAGGGCTATATAGGGATTCGATTTTTCCATCTTGTTAGTCTTGGAGACGAATTAAGAATTCGAGCGCGAGAGCGGGTTGTTTTGGGGCGAAAATCGGCGGCGTTTCTCCGCGACGCGGCGTAACAGATTATAAACGGATTCGGCGACGATTAATCAAAGCGCGACGCGCGCATTCTGACTCAGCAGCCGGAGGGCGCCCGTTTTTCTACCCCTTCTCCCTCTCCCCTCCCTCCCCCCCCTCGGGGGTTACTTTCGCATCGATCGAACTTGATTGCAAAATTACGCTCTCCGGAGAGCTTCGCCCCCTTCGGCGTAATTAGGCCGCGTTTACATCCGCGTCAAACAATTTCCCCGGTATTAATTATTAACGCGAGATTGCGAAACGTCCGTCCGTTCGTTCGTTCATCTCAAAGTTAAACTTTCCGCGTTCAACTTTTCAACCTGAAGTAAGAGAGAGAGGTAGGTGTTAAAACAACAATCGCAACGAGAAGCTTTTCAATTTCTAACTTGCGAAATTAAATTCTCGAGAAAATAACAGAAGGTAACGAGCCTGATGAAATGTGCCACACAGTTGACAGATAAATATATATCGAGTATTTAAACGCGTATTCATTATTTTACGAGGTTACTATAATTTCATTAAAGTATCCGTAAGCACATTTTGTAATATAATATATATTGGATTACGCATTTTTGGGAGCGAAATTCGAGGAAACTCGATCAATTCTCTCACCGCGATCTCTGGAAATTGCGATCCAAGAAGAAGAGAGAGAAAGAAGTCGAGGTGGTTACTTCCCTCTCGTCGTCGTACCAGAAAGAGGCGTTATTTCTCGAGTCGAATCACCTGGTCGCACCGATTGGAAACAGGTGTACGATTTCGCGCAAGATACGATTTCCTTCGCCGTCGTCTTCCGCGCAATGCAGTCGCGTTAAACGGGAACGACTTGCACAGTCTATTCATGTATGTATGTGTGTGTGTGTGTGTGGGAGATGAATGTGTGTTTGAATGTGGCATGTGTCTTCCTAAGAGATCGGGGCTACGACGATCCGCTAAATCGAACCGCCGCACCCCAGTTTTTCTCCGAGATGGCAGATATATATATATATATATATATATATATATATATATATATATATATATATGTACATTTCTCTTATAAGAGGCTGTCTTTTTTTCCTCCCTTCTCCATTCACTTCAACAACGAGAAACAACACAAACAAGTAACAGCACGATTTCTTTAGGCGGTGGGCGAATTTGTGCGTATCGTGTGATCTCTTCTTCTACTTCTTCCGCTGCTGTCTTCAACCCTCTTCTGCTTTCGCGCCTTTAACTCGACGTGATCGAAGACTTTGTTCCGCGCTTTTTTTATGTATTCTTCGCGTGATCGAAAACGCCTCTTTTTTTTGTTTTATTCCTTTTTATTTCCATCGTGATCGAGGACACTCTCTTCTTTTGCCTCGCGCATTTATTTTACATCGAAGATAACGGCGCGCCATTTTTTTCCTGTTTTCGGAAAATTCGGTTATACCAAGTAGTCTTTTATTACGCGAGCGGAACGAGAGATCTCCCCTCGGGATTCGAATTTCCTTTGGTTAATATACCCTGCCCGTTATTCTCTCGTCGATTCATCCCCCGTGCGATGCCTTTTCATCCGTTTGCATAGCTTCAACTTCGCGCTTCTCTCTTCCGTGCCGATGGAGATTCGTAGGATTTTATTCTTCGGTGTATATTGCTCGGTAAAAAGTGGCTGAAAACCCTTTCGCACGCCGCTGACACCTCCTCTCGCGTTTATTTAGAATTTCCACATTAGGGCGATTAAAATTCTTTTTATTGTCTCCACCTCCGAAAATCGACTCGCAATCGACACACTTGGATCTTATCCGCGCGAGATTTTTCATTTCGAAAAGATCCCAAAAGCGCGCGCAATCTTCCACAAGATTTTTATATATAATATATATTACATATATAAATTATGTTATATATATAACATATACAAATAAATTTTTCTATACAATATATGTAATAACAAAAAAAGGAGGACGGAAAAATCAAAAGAGACCAGCAAAAACAAAATGGAGAACGGAAACGTAACGAGTAAGAGGAGAAGGCGCGATCGATACTCGAAACGTAATAAACTTGTCGCGTGAAATTCGAAGGGAAGAGCCGACGGACCAGGGAATATGACTTGCTTGAGAATCGTGACACAAGCCTAGAGAAAGAATCAAAGGAACCCTGACACCTTCTTCTCGGCGCGCGAAGCGAAATCGCCAACCAATCCCGACCTAAGTACCTTCGGGTCCAACTCGCCCTTCCGCATGGTCGATCTCGATAATCGAACGCATCGAACGGCCGCTCGAAAGCGGGAACTTCTCGGAATAAAAAAAAAAAATAAAAAAAAATAAAAAAAAAAAAGAAAGAAAGAGGACCTAAAATTCCACCCCTTCTGGTAGGATCTCGGTTTCCATCTCGGTAAATCATCCGCGATGACTCTCGCGTCATCCAACCGTCTTCTCATCCTCCCTCTTTTCTCTCATTCGTACACACACGCACACGTATTACATGCACATACGGCGCACCCTGTCCACTTGGACTCTCATCGGTTCTCTCATTACAGTTCTCTATGTTTTTATATTTACGGTTATTATTTACGGTAATGTCTAAACGAACACATATTATATCTCAATAACGCCGTGCTTATTTATCGTTCCCGTGCCACGTGTTTTTTTTTTTTTTAACCCCCTCCCATCAAACCCTTCAGCAGGCCCAACCATACCGACTATACAAGAATACGTCAGCCTCCTACTTATTAGCGCGTTCAAGAGACCTCCTTTTCGACCGTTCTTTCGCCGCGAAGAAACTATCTACCTACGGTTTTTTTTTTCATTTTTAAGTACTACCTCGTTAAAGTTTAACGACTTATGCTCCTCTGTGTTATGTACGTGTGTTATTTTTTTTTTCTTTGTGTGCCTGTACGTCTACCTTTGTCGGCTCTTACTTGTCTGTCATCTTTTCCTTCTTCTCCTTTTGTCACCCTCTTTCACTCTTTCTCTCACGCACTCGCTCTCTCTCTCGCTCTCTCATTCTGTGTGTAACGTAATTTAATGTGTAATAATAATCGTATCGTTATTATTCTATCGTTTACTTTAACGTTACTCTTTTCAATCGTTTTTCTCTCTTTTTATATATATATATATATGTATATATATATATATACATAATATATTTAAATATTTATATCGTTTACTCAATTATTTAATCTCCATTATATTATTTCATCATTATCATTATTATTAACTATTATTATTTATTATTCATTATTTTATTTTGTTTTATTCATTATTATTGTATTATTATCATTATTATTAGCGCTAGACGTTACGTTTCCTTCGTTCTCGGTTGTTCTTGTTGTTTTTGTGGTTGATGTTGTAGTTGTTCTTTGTTGTTCTCCCTCTCGCTCGAATCTGCGCTTCGTCCCTTCTTAATCCTACCCTCTTCTTCGGCTATCCTCGCGCGCGGTCTTGGTGTTCTTTTTCTACCCGTGCACCATCCTTTAGAGAACATCTAAATCTCTAAAATCCTCCGTGTCTTCTCGCGTTTGCGCTCTGTCTCGACACGGCGTGTAATCCGTTTTATTAATTGTCTTCTTTTTACATATATCGGTCCGTCCTCGATCGAGTCTCGCTTCGATCGAACCCTGTGTACTTCTCTCTCGGAGTACCGGGGAAGGGCATGCTCCGCGAAGGGCAGAGATCCCGAAGAATAGAAAAAAACCCGTACGATCCTGCGTGATCCAGGAAAGTAAAGCTGGCCCGTCCCTATGGCGGGTCCTTCCTGGATGTCGTCCTGGCGAGAACTCCGCTGGGCGCTCTTCCTCGCCGACGTCCTCGACGACGTTGCTCCCGGACGAGGAGAAACGATCCCGGGATGTCCCGTCCCAGCAAGCAGCACCGACACTTGGCCGCGAACCTGAGGAACAGCACGAAGAGAAGGATGGATCGCCAGGACGCGACGCCGTCGCGACGGGCAAGTTTCCAGCGAAAGTGCCGGCTGCTGGATCTCCTCCAGGACCTCCACCACCACCATCCGCGACGACGGCACTTGGTCACCGTCCGTCTGGGCATCCAGAGGATGAACAGGAGGCATCGCGCGACAGAAGCGTGCCGGTAGAACGCCCCGGCCGAGCGTGAACCGAAGGCGGAAACGCGAAGATCGTTCAGAGTCCTTCGCAGGACGTGCGCGCCCGGCAGCCCGATCAGCCGAAAAAGGCCGACCGGGCACCAGAGAGTGGACGCGAGGAGGTTGTATTGCAGCGCGTTCGCGGGAAGAGAAATTAAGATCGAGTAGAGCCAGAGGAGCTGGAGAACGATCGGCGGACTCGAGCGGCCGGGCGAGGACGCGCTTGGGATCGAGCCGATGCGGCCGCTGCCGCAGAACAACGTCTCCTGCTGCTCGGTGCTGCTCGACGACGTTGACGCCGGGGTGCTGGAAGACGCGCTGCTCGTTTCCTGCCCGTCGTCGGCGAGCCCGCGTTCCGTGGACGCTTCCGAGCCCGGATACTGACCTGCGCCCAGAAAAACGAGGATCGATCCAAGAATCAATCCGGGTATCTGTTCAACGAGCTTTCTTTCGGATGCCGAAATAAAAAGAGCTCTATTTTTATTGATACGCTTACATGCTGGACAAGTTTTGTTGCAATTAAACACAGAAAAAATGGAATCCTTGATTCAAGTATATTTTTATTCTCGAACGCTATTTGATTGATTTAAGCATAGAATGCTCTTTGTAATCATCTTAATAATAAATAAGTTTGTGTGAAGTATATTTTATCCTGAAGATATATTCTTGTTTGAAAAATCGCGTATGGTAAAAACAAACTTTTAGTCACATTTGAACTATTAGAATTATTATATATACTTGAAAGTATCGTTTATGTCCTTGCAATATTTATAAGTAAATTTCAGCTTCAACCAAGAATATTTTGCACTTTATTTTAAGGATAAATTATCCTTTATCCAAAATTATTTATATTTGGCGCTATTATCAGGATAAAATATACTTGAATCAAAGCATATTTGCATTCTTTCAAGGATACTGTTTTTTCTGTGAAATTAAGGATGTTGTTGAGACTTTTAATCCTCCCATATTGAATTCAATGACCTAAAAAATCCTTCAAATTCGTGGCTAACTTCTGCAAGCTATTTAACCATGGATATCTTATTAATTTTAATCGACATCAAAAATTCCCTTTGAAGGTTCAAAGTCCTAATAATATACTTTACTTTAATTGCAATAAAACTTGTCTAGCTATAACAAAGTTCGCGAAGAAAGCCCTTGTTCGCAAGTTTAATTAAAAATTTCTCAAAACAGCATCCAAAAAACTATAGGAACCGACTAGTCTCGGTTAATTTTTTTGTTGAACAGTGTCGCGAAAGGAAGATCTCGCGTTCTCCAATTATTATATTTCCGGAGCTGTCAAACTGAACAGCTGATTCGAATCGAATTGTTCAAGTATTTTTACGCATAAATAAAAGAAAAAATGTAAAGTTCTTTCTCGAAATTCCGTGAAATTTTTCAGATCGATTGCGAACCAAGACGAGAGACTCGTGGAACTTACCTGTAGGACCAGACTGAAGGACGGCAGTTTCGCACTGGGGAGCCGTCCAGGGGTCCTCTAACCTGCCATGTTTCCACGACTCTTTGCAGCTGGTGCAGATACCCGAGTCTGGCTCGTCCTTGGCGCACACGTGGAAGCAGCACTCGCTATCATCGATGTTGTGCAACGCCCTCGCGGCCTGCTCGCCGGTTTCGGGGATGTTCGGGTCTGAAATCATTGCGTTTTCCACGTGCACGGACGGTCGATCGTCGCTTTCCGAAGTAGCGCCGAACAGCAAGGGAGGGTTCAGCGAGCGGGAGAGGGAAAAGCTCGTAAAAGCTTCGCGAATTGTATTCATTTCTCGGGATGCTTTCTTTCGAGGAAAGAGACGGTAAGGTTTCTCTTGCGGAATGCGTCGTAAAATCAAAAAGCGTCGTAAGGTCGTCCGCATAGAGAGTCGCGCTTCCGTAAAGTTCAACGCTTTCTCTCTGTGCGCTTTCAATAATTATTTCCAAGTCTTGTCACACAAGCAAATCCGAATTTAAATCTTGATTAAAGACGGTACGATGTAATTGCTAATTTGATTCATCAGATTTTCCATGAAGGCAAATTCAACATAAATTAATTAGAGAGCAATCTTTTCAAGAACACGCACACAGGATCTCATTAACAACTAATTGGCAATCCTTACAAAAATACTAGTAATCACCACGGTGAAAAAAAAAGTTATTAAATTTGAACAAATGTTTATTGCAATACTGCTTAATTAAGCATTTATTTGAAACTAATAATATTGATATAATTGTGAAAAATATTTATTTGATTTATTAAGCAGTATTGAAAGAAATATTGATTAATTTACTAATTTTTTTCCAGTCACAGAAACTTTACTTATTCTTTATTCCTATTCCATTTCATCTTGTACTTTCACACATTTCCCTTTTTCTTTTAAACTCTGTGCGCCACTTTTTTAATTTTTTTACCCTTCGCATTTATAATTTCTTCCCTCGCGGCTGAACATTTATATCGTCTTAAATTCCGCGTTCTAGAGTCTCATCGAGTCGCGATGAGAGACGACGGCATAAATGACGAGAGAAAGAAAGATTTCTCCGAGATTTCATTACGGAAATGCGGCTAGCGAACGGGGTGAAAGGCAGCTGAATTGCATTTCGAGCACCAGGATTACATCCGACGATCTTGGCGTCCGCGCTCGCGTAAAGGGACAAAAGGAATGCTCGATAAAGCGTCCGATCTTCCAATAACCGCGCGACACGCGTCCCATTTAACGCGGTTTATACCCAAAAGTGGCGCGGCATTCCTCCGTTTGGAGCCTCGCGTGACGAGAGATAAAAAAAAAGGGAGAGAAAAAAAACGACGAAAAATATTCGACGGTTCGGACATTCGCCCGTGAACTCGGTAATATCAACCCTTTTAACCTCCGTACGACGATATAAACAGAGGGGAAATCTCTCTCCCCGACTTTCGTATAAAATTACACGGTCAATTTCTCTCGCATAGAGAGGAAGATGTGGATTATTACATTACACGCGTTTATCTTTCCTTCAGTGATAATTAATAATTATCTAAGTGATATCGTAATTTGGTAAAATTATGATGTCAGTTTGACGAACGTAGTTTAAAATTTCTCTCTTTATCGTATTTTTAATACGCATCCGATATCAAAATTTATCCGTAAAGAGTCGAGATTACCGAGTCTCAACCAGGTTGACAGTTGAAGAGCATTTATATCGTAGGAAAATCGTGGAGGAAAAAAATAGAAACGTCAGAGAGGAATGAATAAAAATGGAAAAAAGTCACATATACATATATTATTCGTTGCGTTATTTATGGGAAATTACGCGAGCCTGAAATATCATTGGTCACATTATGGTGTGCGGCAATAACAATTTAAATGAGGACGCATTGTTTCACAGAAGGGAAGAGAACGGGGAGGCGAATGAAGGACGTTGTACCACGGTTGTTGTTTTTATGCGCTTCTGCGTCCTCGTGCAAATTTATATACCGCGAACTTAATTAAACGAAAATGAATATTTAACGAAAATGAATCGCGCGAACAGTCAAAAGAACGAAAAAAAAAAAAAAAAAACTGATCACTTTGCAAATCTGTGCGAAGTGCAGAACACGCACAAAAGTAGGGTGCCAACCAATATTTTTACCCTTTCTTCAAACAAGATTCGTCGAGAAGACGTGACTCGTCGAAAGAGAGAGAAAACTGAGAGAACCAAATCAAGGGTGACTCGATTAAATGATTACGTTCTTTTTTTCGATTTCCTTATTATTATTAATATTTTTTGTCATTTACCTCTGCAAAGAAAAGTGGGTTCGCCGGCGTATTGCGTGGGGTACGCAGGGGCACGATCGCCGGAAGTAAATAGGGGCAACGTTGCTCCACGGTTTGGCAGAAGGATCGGCAGGGCCTTAATCTGGTGCCGGTCCGGCTGCCCCTCGAGGTTTTCACTGGTTCCTCGTGAGCAAAGTAAGGCACCAGGGAGCTGCACACCCATTTCCTATACGCCTCCTGCAATCAGAAATCGCCGTGTCCATGATTAGTCAAGTTATTTCCCATGTTTGGAATTAAAAAATTTTATTTTTTAATATTAATTTAAATTATTATTATTATTGATAGAAATTTTAAAGCAAAAATTAATATAATATAAATGAACATTACAGGCTTGTATATTTAAATCGGTCATTAAATCGAATTTCGCGAGGGACCAAGGACAAGTCAGATTTGTTCTTGTTATATTTGATGAATATTTAATTATTGTTTCTTTGATAATTATTTCTGTAATCAACTGGAAATATATTATAATCATAGGGGGTTGATAAACAACTTGTACAAGTTTTAATTTGCAACCGTACTCTCGTATAGATTTCTGCGCACGAAGAGAAATTACTAATTGTTAGTTAACAGAAAGATTAGGCGAAATAACTATTCTATTATAATCGTGGAATTAAATTTTAAGAAAATGTTCCAGCGGAAAATTTTATGTTACATATTGGGTATCTCTAATATTCTCGCTTTTACATTTAAGCATTCCTCTGCTGCTATTCTGGACGCTGTGTTAATACAAGCAGAAGCTATGAGACTATATTACAAAGCATAGAATAAGGAAGAGCGGGAATGGTTAAATTAACGAGTTAAAGCACGTTAAGCTATTATTCCTTTCTCTCTCTCTCATCCTTCCAATTAGTATATTTTCCTATTAACACGAAGTGCTCTCCTAAAAGCGTTTCTTGTTGAAACGTGTATGAGTAAATAAATCATTATTAGTACCAATTCCGAGTAATGTTTATTTTCAGATCATTCTATTTGATCCTCCTCATCGTGAATTGTTCTTCACACAATTGAAAGATATGTACTAATATTTTTCGTAAAATTATAAAAATCTTTAACATTGCCAAATGACGCAGAAATAAATATTCATTGTTTCATTATCCTTTGGTAGCTTATATACGAATATATAAAAATCGCGAGCTTTTCGAAAATGCAATCGCGGCAAGATCTGACACTTCGATCGCGCTGCTGAAAATTGTAATAAAAATCAGTGCAAAGATGACTCTGTCGCGTCGCGTTCCCGATCGGATCACACACGGGTACAGGTCAGATTCGTTTTTAAAATAAAAGCTGACGGAGATAAAGACGAAGAGAGAACGAGATAGAGACAAGAGACCTGATCCATCCGGTTCGTCCGTCAAAATTAGCCATTTCCCGGGGGACAGACTGACGGTTTACGAACGTATCAGGCTTTTCGAGGACTACTTGTCAAATATCAAGAAATCTCCGGGGCCGGTGAGGTTGAAATAGGCGGGTCGGTGTCTGACCTATATCGAGCCATCTTTAAAACATTACGGTCGCGCTAGCGCATCGCTATAATTACATACCCGATGCTTCAGACAATCTTTTTTTATCCACCAGACCGTCCCCGGATGTCTATCGGATGTTCCACGGGCCACAGCAATCGTTAAATGTAGAGCATTTCAACCGTCTCTCTCGAGGATTCGCGGCAGAACAGTAGGCATTCGGAAGTGAATTCACACACGATCGAGAATTCGATTCATGCAATAACTAGTTGGGTAAGGAACGTGTAAAATAGCGGATCTCCGAAAATAACGCGGAGCAAAAAAATTTCTCTCTGCATAATACGCTCGCAAAAGGAATATTTGTCCCCCTTTGGAATTGGGAAAAAATTAAGCTTTTGCTCTCCCCTTTTGAACAACACTGGAATTATTTGCATATTTAATTCTAAAAAATTAAAATTAAAAATTAAATTTTTAAAAATGTAATTATATCCTCTCCTGAAAAAATTCTGCGAACGGCCCGCTCGTCTTGCAAAGTTATCCTCTGAACTCTCTTATTATATTTTCAAACTCAAGGGATAATATACATATATATATATATATATATCCTGCGTCTAATGAATCACTCTGCATATCGGGGACGAGAAAACTTGATCCACGATTAAATATATCGTCGACGCAAATTTAATCCTCCGTTTATCGGAATCTTTTGATTTTCAACGAGCCGTAAGCGATTAATCATCGGATCATGAACCCTTTACCAGACAAAAACGAGCCTAATAGGGTACCTCAATGCGCGCAATTAATTTTATGCCTGTATACAGGCATGGGCGTCCGTAGAATTTTTTTCAAGGGAGGCATGATTAAGATTTTTTGTTTCTTATTTTTTGTTCTTCTCGAATTTTTTTATTATTTTTCTTTTTTTTTTTATATTAAACTGCAAAAATAATTTGTTTAATGATTCTAAGGGGGATTCAAATGCTCCCTCTGCGGTCGTCCATAACTATAGAGAAAATGCGAATGAACGAAAAGATTGATGAAGACACCCGTTTCCAAAACACCCGGTAGACTCGGCCCTTTCTCGAGGGGAGTTTTATTAAATTCGTTCCTTGGAAAAAAGAGTAGACGTCAAAAGCATCGCGCGAGAGAGGCTGTCGCTGTCCTCCGCAGGGAAAACGTTCCGCATTGTGATCTCCACCGAGACAGTAAGAGTGAGCAAAGTTCCGGGTCACACACGTACACAAATTCGGATATTTATAAATAGGCTGGCCTTAGTGTGCGGAGCTTAAAGCCTCGTGTCGTCCCTCGTGCACCATTTTGAGAGCTAGTTATATATATATATATATATAAATAATGTATGTGTCCAGAGATATCAACGTTTTATAAATGTTAATAATTCAATCGACCAACTCTGGCAAATAAGTAATTTTATTGAATTTTTACAACGTTTCGGCCGTGGTTTTCGGCCCTTTTCAAGTGCTGTGTTCTTAAATCAAAGTAAATCACAACTTTTTTAAAAAACAAAAATTCGATCTTAGAATATGACATCATACTATCATGTTATTATATAATGTCATATTCTAAGATCGAATTTTTGTTTTTTAAAAATATAATAACATGATAGTATGATGTCATATTCTAAGATCGAATTTTGCACTTGATAAGGGAAAACCGATACGTTGTGAAAATTCAATAAAATTACTTATTAGCCAGAGTTGGTCGATTGAATTATTACCATTTTTTAATTATCATCTGGTGACTTCATAGTTTTATATCATGTTTTATAAATGTTTTATTTCGCAGTTGAATTAGGTAAACGGAATTTTAATTTTCCTCATATTCGTCGCAAACATCCTTTAAAACATATTTAAAAACGATGGCATTTAGAATTATTAAAGGGAGAGTAGGGGAGGAATCATCTTAAAAGCTAGTGAAGAAATAATTCAAATAACTCTAACTCTTTAAATATTTCACTCTTTGCTTCATTTCCGGCGGGTGATACGGAATTCATCCCGTTGGAAATATCACTGAAAACCTGTCTAAGAGCGAGAATATTCGAGGATTTTTGCGCTTTGAGAGCACCGAGAGATGTTTAAAAATTTCAACGTTCAAATCGCGCGCTAATCAAGAATTATGTATCGCTCGTCCCTAAACGGATATTCTCGTGAGAAATATTCGCGAGAGAAAAGCGCGGTTCCAATTATGCAACGGTGTCGTTCGCGCGGCTATTGTTGGAGAGATTCGATGGAGAGAAAAATCAATTTAAAAAAAAAAAAAACTCGAAAGCGTCGCCCGAACAGTCGACGTAACAAAAGACATTCGATGGCTATTCTTGAGAGATATTCAACGAGATCATATGCGATATTGGACTTATCGAGTATCGTATATATGTATATGTTTCATTGCAATTGCCCTCTTCGGGATGCAGTTCTAGATGATAAGAGAGAGAAAGAGAGTCCTCCGACGACCACATCTTCTCGCAAAAAATATACATAAATTAACACAAACATTGTGTCCCAGTTAAATTGGAAGAAATTAATCGGATCAAAATTCTGACAATATTATAAGCTTGAAATGCTTTAGTATATTCAAATCTTCGATTGATTGCAAAAAATATGCTTTTTAATCTGCGAAGAATTGTTAGTCGCGCCGGAGGTTCTTTTGATTGTATATCAAAACGGGAATGTATCTCCAGATTGGTCGAAACGGTCCCCTTCGGAATAGTTAAACAAGAAACGTTTTTCGCGATATACCTCGGAGATTCATTTCCGACCCTTCTGTCTCGTCGCTTCTGGAATATTCGCCGTTGGTATAATGACACGACGGGGATGGTCAGAAGAGGGTGGTTAGTAGGACAGCATGAGGAATAACCGGAACGATAAATGCGGAAATACACAAACGACGTAATAAAGTAATACGCGAAAGGGCGTAAAGACGAGAAAAGAGGAAGAAATGATATAATTATTATATTACTCGAAATATCAAAATTATCAAAATGACATTCCGAAATTTATTAACACATCTTTCAATATTCACGCGTGTTCAAAAAAAAAATGGCATAAAAATAACAATCTTTTATATATTCTAATAAATGTATCATTTTGTGGTATTTTAGGGAAAATATACATTTCCATATAATCACACACAATGATCTTTCGCGGATGCAAGATAGCTTTTTCTTCTAACCTCCCTCCATTTCTCCTTTCTCCGCAAATACGGCAAACACAAGAGATATCTTGAAATCTTCCACGTGGTTGGTCCTCGCGCGGATTGAGGCTGCGATTGCCGCATCGAACATACGTCTCCTCCATTCTGTTCTTCGCTTTAATGCGGCCGATAGTTTGTCATAGGTTTTACCTTCGACGCTGCAGCCTCTCGAGTAAAGAAGGGAAAGAGGAGAGAGAGAGAGAGCTAAGCAGGAAGATAGGTACCTACACCTGAAGTGCTCTCCAAGTCGGCTGACCCAATTCTCTCTTCAACCCTCCGACGACTATCCCACGTTGGCACAAACCAGGGCAGATGCGATCCCTCCCTTCTCTCTTCAACCCCCCACTTTCACCCCTTGCACTCTTTAATCCTGGTCTCTCCTTCCTTGTTCGAGCAACGCGCGTTTCGCATTGCTTCATTCCATCTTTCTCTCTCTTTTCAATTCTCTTCTCGAATATTGTTTCGATAGTAATTATAAAAATATTGGGCTATTGTCGTTTATAATTTTTC